AGAAAATACCGTCATGGAGGCGTGCCTCAGCTGGCCCCTAAGCAAAAATGTGTACTAGTTCAGTGATAATGGACGTCATACTAAACTCCAAAACATATAAATGAACTAAAATTAAAAATCATACAAGACTAACAAAGGCCAGAGGCTCCTGACTTGGGACAGGCGCAAAAATGCGGCGGGGTTAAACATGTTTTGTGAGATCTCAACCCTCCCCCTATACCTCTAGCCAATGTAGAAAAAAGAAACACACAGCAATACGCACAGTAAAACTCAGTTTAAAAGAAGTCCGAGTCCGGTGTCAGAATAGGTAACAAAAGAAACTAAGCAAAATGACAATGATACATAAATTAACAAAGGACTACTAGCAGTTACTGACATGCCAGCTCCAGACCTCAATTAAACTGATTGAAAGATTATGTCTTCATCATATGCAAATCAAGCACAATCCCTCCCGTTAGGGGTTTGATATCATATCTATCAAAAAAGATATGAGAAGAACATAACCCGTATTATGCCAACAACTAGTTTTAGAATAAATGTATTTATTTCCGATGCAAAGACCCTATGAGTGAATCAATATTAAAACCAAAATATGCCATCTTTAATGACCTGGCAACAGTATCGTAACTATACCCCTTCTTAATACGTCTGTTTAAAGGTTTAGTTAGCTTTTGAGGTGAATGCCAACATTTTTGTGCTTTGTGAAGAATATTAGCATAAAAGATTGGATGTGAAATACCTGAACGTATAAGATGTCTGCATGTTGATTTATATTTACGAATGGTGTCCTTGTACCGATGATAAAATTTAGTAACTGTTTTGACTAGTTTGTGATATCGAAAACCCTGGTGTAATAATTTTTCAGTTATACATACATTTCTTTCGTTAAAGTCAAATACGTTGTTACATACACGAGCGAATCGAACAAGCTGACATAAATAAACACCATAAGATGGTGACAAGGGAGCGTCACCATCTAAAAATGGATAATTAACAATAGGAAATGAAAAATCATCTCTTTTATCATAAATTTTGGTATTAAGCTTCCCGTTAAAGATATAGATATCAAGATCCTGGAAAGGGCAGTGCTCATTGTTAGTATTTGCTTTATTTAAAGTCAGTCCAGCAGGATAAATCTCTTTAGTGTACATACTGAAGTCGTCATTATTGAGAGCCTATATATCATCTAAATATCTAAAAGTGTTATTAATTTTTTGTATCAGATGTTGTTTCTGTGGGTCTTTGCTGATTTTAGTCATAAATTGTAACTCGTTACAATACAGAAACAGGTCCGCAATAAGTGGTGAACAGTTAGTCCCCATTGGAATTCCGATAACTTGACGGAACATATATATTCACATTCCGACTTTTTAAATGAGAATATGAGACAAAGTGGTATATAGGGTAGAAAAATCAAAACTTTTAACAGATTCAAAATCACCAATATAAGCATGCAATTTATTAAGTACTTCCAACGAATTTTTGACACTCCAAAAGTAATTAATTCCACTATTTTCAAAGGCCTTATTTGAACAATTAATTATCATGTTTTTGATTGTACCAAGTGTACTAGTAAGTATAATAGACAGTTTAGTAGTGGAATAATGGCTTGAATACGAAATAAATCTATATTTGTAAGGTGTTTTGTGCCGCTTCAGGCCAGTACATAGTTGGAACTTTCATTGTATTTGGTTCTGCTTGTAAAGAAGTAGCTAAGAATTTATGTTTGTTATAGATGTCATTTTCCGAAAATGGAGTCAGTTGGAATGTTGGTGAATTCGTGATTTCCTTTTGCAGAACCTCAATGTAAAATTTACGTCAAACAATAATGATATTATTAGCAGCCTTGTCAGCCGGGACAAAAACAAATTCCTTGGCGAGTTCTTTTAGCTTTTGTTTGATACGAGAAATAGGTTTATTATGGTTGTTGTTAGGAGTAAAATGTTCTTTAAAATGTTGTAAAATGACCATTACTACGTGTTTCCTAAATGATCATTTGCCTTGATATAAATTAAGGGGTGCATTCTGTTAGAAAAAATATGTACTTTTACGAGAACTTTTGCTCGATTCGTCTAAGAAGTCGAATTTATTTCGCACTATTTTTAAAAAATCCTTTATTGTTCACTTAAATTCACGGTATGAAAGTGAGGGCGTAATAACTTTTTGATGTATTTCTGAATATGCTACCAAAATTAAAATGACTAATACTTGTCAAATGCTGCACTCTTGATAGATTGTGGCAAATTAAAGTCATAATCATAAAATGGAAAAAGACACTCTAGTTAACCAAAACCGAAATTCTGTTGGAAGTAACGCTATGTTTTGCCTTTCATATATATACAAACTAATTTTCATGTTGGTTAAGGATGTCGTAATATGCCAAATCGTGTAAAATTTGGGAAATTGTACCAAAACCGCGAGTCTTCAACAACAACGTAAAACCTTTAAGGCTGATATGGATTTTTGTGGAATTGTTGTAAAATATCTAATTTGTATTATTTTAAATTGGTGTGTCCATTTTAGTATCATCATCTCGCCATCGATAGTGACCGGAATTAAACCTGTATGTCTATTATATTAAAAGTTCACAAAATACCATTTCATTGCTACCTAAATATAGTTCAGACATAATCGGTCCGAGAATGTGTGTGTGGGACCTGGTAATGTCCTTTTATACTATTCAGCCAAACGTGTAGCACTTGGTGTATTAGAGGAAATAAAATGCAATTAAAATTCCTTTGCAAAGAAAAGAAATATAAAAGTTTATGAGTGAACTTATTTCTGTTAGGGAGCTACCATTTGATATTTATGGGGGGGGGGGGATGAAATTTGAAAAAAAGGCAGGACAGGAGTTTTGAGTAAAAAAAAAAAATACAGGACAACATTTTTCATCCTAGCCCCCCCCCCCCCCCCCCCATAAAAATCAAATGGTAGCTCCCTTATATACATGTTATTTTTCTCTGTGGATTGGATATGCGGAGCACTACAATTTTTACATTACTGCAATTTCCCTTTCATTTAAGAACCATTCTTCTTATGCTTTCATTTCTAACGGAATTGCAAACATCTCTTTCTTACATTAAATAAGAGTTCGGAATTACAGAAAGAAAAAAAATTGTTTTGCGCAAAGTACAAATGTATAATCATTATTGATTTGTGTCTTATTATGCCCGCACCACTCCGTGACCGAGACAGTTGTATTACCAATGTGGTCCAATGCCAACAGCCCCCTGATAACCTACAACTTTACGGCCCTTGTAAATTGGCAGCAGACGGGAGACATTCGTGTCGTTCCGACACATTTAGTTTTTCTGTGTGCAGCGTTAACAGTAATTTATAATTGCGCATCTGGTGCAATAAAAAATGGTGCTGTTGATCGTTGTTACTATACCGCTGAATTTCTACATTTGCTTGTGGAATGTTAGTCCCCGAGGGTATCACCAGCCCAGTACATTATTTCTTCAGTACAGGCATGAAAATTGGGATATTTTTATTCAAATTTGCTGTTCAAAACTAAGGAAATCATCGGACAATAAGGAATGTATCTCCCTCATGCATAGCTCTCATTCATTTCCGGTATTTGCTTTACTTTTTGTCCTTTTCTCGTTACAGTAGCTCGTAAAGTTTGTATGAGAGTTTGGATTTTCGAACATTTTATACTAGGTCATTACCAAAGAGGCATTAATTGTCGAAATGAGCATCTAGTGCAGTAAAACTTGTATTTTAAACGTTACCGATAAAAGTGAAAATAATTATTCCCCGTATTTTTGGATTTTTATTGTATAATAATTCTTGCAATGCCGAGTGTTTACTTCCAATTAAGTAAAAATGTTTTCAAACAATTGTATTATGTATTTTGAATGATATCGGAACCCTGTGTTTCGCATACGATTGCTGCTGGTTGTATAAAAGTGTAATGTTGACTTAAAAAGTGAGTCCATTTATTAGTTAAATACAGAATGTTAAAAAAGATTCAAATTTTCTCTTTAGATGCTATTTCTTGGTCTTGAAGATTAGCTTCTGTCCAAGTTTCATAACAATCCATTAAGGTAAACAAACTTATCATATCAAAAAAATGTAAACCCAGACTGTCAGTAAATGGTAACTGTAAAAAAAGTCCATCTATCAGAAAAATATTGAAAATGAAAATACATTTTCAAAAGTGTGGTTCAGACATTATCTCTTAATCATAAAACAGTTTCATAAAATTCTATGAAGGTTTGACAAAGTATTTGATGTGTAACAAACTTTAACCCCAGACTGTATCTATTTGTTAAATGTAAAAAAAAACTAAGTCCATTTATCAGTAAAATGGGAAAAATGAAAATAAATATTTCAAAAAATTTGCTCAGGATACTGTATCCTAGTCATAAACAATCTTCTGTCCAAATTTCATAAAATTCCATGAAGGTTTGACAAATTTATTGATGACTGAAAAACTTTAACCTCAGACTGAATCTGAATGTTAAGTGTTAAAAAAACTAAGTCCATTTATCAGTAAAATAAGGAAAAATCAAAATAAATATTTTCAAAATTTTGCTCTGGATACTGTATTTTGGTCATAAACAAGCTTCTGTCCAAATTTCATCAAATTCCATGAAGGTTTGACAAAGTTATTGATGACTGAAAAACTGTTAACATCAGACTGAATATGAATGTTAACTGTAAAAAAAAACTAAGTCCATTTATCAGTAAAATACAGAAATTTTAAAAATTTTGCTATGGATACTGTATTTTGGTCACAACCAAGCTTCTGTCCAAATTTCATCTAATTCCATGTAGGTTTGACAAAGTTATTAATGTACAAAAAAGTTTTAACCACAGACTAAACCTAAATGTTGACGCCGCTGAAGCCGGCGCCGACGACGGAATCTAGGATCGTTATGTCTCGCTTTCGCGAAATAAATTTCGCAGGCTCGACAAAAATGTGAAAAGAAAAAAACGGATGAAATAATTTTCTTTGATTTGGATATATAGTATTAGAATTTATAAACTCTTACCTGAAAATGAATTAACGCCAATTTTTGCACACCTGAGGAATTATGACATTTTCTCTGTTATAAACACAGATAACTGCTACAGTGGATGAAGATTGACATGCTAGTTAACTTTGACGTCAAAAACTTCAATTTCTTCTTTACCACCAATAGATCGCCTGATAAACATCACTATATTACCAGCAAGCCTTCTTGCATAAACTTGATTTATACACGACTTAAACACAACTAAATTTTCATATCAGCAATAAAGAATTAATTCCACTGGAAATTCAAATATGTTTTTCTGTGTTTATGACTAAATATCAAATATGATTTATTGACGTTTAATGGAATATAGCCTCTGAAATCAGTTCATTCATATAAAACTTCATCAATGAAGATTTTGTCCGAGATTTATACAAGTATTGTTGTAATGTTAGATACAGCGCTTATTGAAATCCAATTGTGCGTTGTAACGTATGGCTAACTTGTAGAAGTACTTCTATCATTTCCACTTCTAATGTATGCATCAAGGCATTTAACATCTAAAGAAGGTTGTTACGGAGCGTGCTATACAAATTTATTATTTCATACGTCAATTATAAACCTGGGATGGTACTTAAGTTTTTTTTATTCCTAGATCTAACAATAATAAAGATAACATTTAAAACATAATTTTCATTATAAACGCATTTAGCTTTATTGAAACTAAAAATTTTGTATTCATCATATTCTACATTTACCTTGGAATTAAAATTACTCTTGTCATTACTTAATGAAAGCAAAATACATCTGATGGTTTAAGTGATGTTCATATTATGAAAAATGATATATTTGTTTAACGTTTGGGTCAGATCCCGGTAAACAACGATGAAACAGTAACCGAACGATACAAATAATCAAACAACTAACAGTCTAAAACAATAGGCAGGTGTCTGTACAATATGCAAAGCTCCAAATCGCCACGTGTATAGAACAGTACATCAGTATACATCGACATTGAAACAGCAACCCAACGATGAAAAGAACAACATGACTTATAGTCTTTAACAACAAGCAGGCTTCTGCACAACATGCCAAACTCTAAATCGCCACGAGTCATAGAACAGTACATCAGTAAACATCGACAATGAAACAGCAACCCAATTATACAAATACAGTCTCAAACGATACTCCGGCGTTATTCATTGGACGTGACGTTAAATACATAACAATAACACATCTTTGCTTCAGAAATCTTACAGAAAATATATTTTTGGATAAAACTATGGCTTATTTTACATATTACTGACAATATATCAAAATCAGGTTACTTTCAGTTTTGTATGAACTGCAAAAATTTTGAAGATAAGAGAAAGTCAAAAAAATAAATATTGATAAATAAATGTCATAAATAATCTGAAGGATGTTATTGATAAAATTATAATATTATTTCATTTTCAAATTCCAAGGGACATACAAGTAGCTGTTTTCTTTATAATGGTTTCCCTCCACATTTAACCTACACGGCAAATACAGATGTCTTCTATTTTATCCGAATTGATATCTTGTTCGATTGGTTGCTTTACGATATGTGCTATGATTCCAATCATAAATCAAAGTACTGAAGTACTGAACATCCGATGACAGCAAGTTCTGGTGGATGGTTATAAACACTTGTCTCAGAAAAAAAATCACATCTCTATACCTGAAAGTTAGGTTAAGGTACATATATATATTTTTCTGAGACAAGTTCCTGTGTGGATGATGGATAAATGACAGGGAATTCAACCTCACCGTAATAATTATTATGTTGTAGTGATATAATCATTTGTTATCAGTATACTCTGGTTTATTGTTATATATTATATTAATATTTGTATACCAGTTATATATGTTGTGTACAAGTTATCATTTTGTACAAATTATAATTTGTACAAAAAAATTGTACAAATTATAATGTGTATTTTGACTTTGTACAAATTGTAATTTGTACAAAAAGTGCCTGTACACATTATAATTTGTACAAAATAAGGCTTAATTTCACTTATAACTTGTACAAAATTTTACATAGAATAAGTTTCAAATCAAATGATAAAAAATAATTTTAATTTTAATTATGAATCAATATGAAACCCACTGATAACTCCATTTACAATACTATACATAATAAACAATGCTCTTATTTGTTGGAGCAGAAGTGCGAACCATGACACCTCGAATTACACAATACATTCTGCTTTTTGCATTTACAATTCGAATTGTTACAATCGCCTTAATTTGCAAGAGAGATAACCCTGCCCACCAGTTTTTGAAATTTTTTTGACAGCTTCCCTCAGGGAAAGTTGTAAATCAAGAAATTGTGTAACAGACAAAAAAAGAGTCATTAATTGATTCTAGTTGGTTTCTGCTTAAGACTCCTGATATATTACCAGCTATTGTCCCTACACAATAGCCAACATTTCCTACTTCCACAACAACACCTTGTATATTACTCGGATCGTTCGGTGCTCAGTCATACTATGGAATTGGGACATTGTCTCCAACAGATAACTTGCTCAGTTTCTGTTTTGTATTTCTTGTTAGGACATCCGCTTGAATTTGTTGGCCAGACAATGCCCTTTTTCGACTTCCTCTGATACAACTTTAATAGTTGTACTAGTTGATCGACAAAGCGCAAACCTTCAGACACAATTGCTGAACTTCTTGATAGAATTTATCCTGTTGATCAACAATACTAGCCATTTTAGTGAACACTTTAACTTTTAATTTTGTAAATGACCATTTGAAAGACCAGTTTATCTCTGTATCGATGTAATGCATTGGCTTTATGAGAATAAAGATATAAAGACCAGTGAACAGGAGTTCAATTTATAACCTCAAGGCAATATACACGAATCAATATGACTTGAAAAATTGTATTGAAAAGTTTCCATAGTGTGTATCAATACTTTTTTATCACAAAATCCACGCGATAAATTATTGTACAAGGTTTAAGTGAATTTTAGTCAAATTTTGTACAAATTGTAATTTGTACAAGCACTTTTTGTACAAATTACAATTTGTACAGAGTCAAAATACAAATTATAATAATTCATATTTTCCCGCTTTTGTTGCAAAACGTTCTCGATATACTCTTCCGCATGCGTTAACACAAATATTCGGTATCCATGATTTGTTATTGATATATATATATTTCTCACGACAAAACATTTTCATACATTTATCAATGTTCTTAAAAAATATTTTCATGAATATTTATTGATGAAATTAATATAAAACAAGCGGTAAGGAATGTTATTTTGCACTCGATAATATCCGCGTAATTATACGAAATACGTTCGGTTATCAGTCAAACGGCAAGGAAATTTCTGCGGCAACATAACACCGGTATGACCTCTCAAGGTCACATCTGATGTAAAAATATATCGGCTCCTTTTAAAATAAATGTTGGTAACAAAAAGGTGTTAAAAGATAGACAAATTGTTATCCTTCTGATTGAAATATTCCCGGTTTAGATTTGAGAACTGTTCTGACCATCAAAAACCTTTTACCAATCTGTCTCTTAACCTGGCAATCTGGATATATATTTATGGTTTCCTTTCGTCGATTTTCGATAGCAGATCTATACAGACAACTAGTAAATTGACCATGATTCCAGGTTAATGTGTTTCTTAGCAAAGTGAAGAATTAGGCTAATTTGATGATTAATTTATTGTTTTAGTGGCAAATATTTCATATATGGTAAGGACGAGAAACAAATAAGTGAAATTTGACTGCATTTGGATAAACAGGAAATGTTGATAGCGGCAGAAACGTTGCATTTTAATTGGTCACCACTCAAAGAGATGTTGAAAGGGTTCTTAATCCCAGAGAGAATGGGACACTCTCACTTCCAAATTTGAAGACAGTACTTGAAAATCTATTAAAAGCTCAATAAAACGAAGTTTGCACTACAATTTAACTATCTTAATATAATTAATCCATTATAAAACATCTCCAGCATGGCAACATTTCTTCAATCATTGCAAAACCCGGGGTATACAAAAATACGAACAAATTTTTATTCTCACCTTCCACCGTTTATTTCCCTCAGGATATACTTCTATCTACAGATTAATAGTGTCATCCATAGATGTCAAAGTTCAGTTTTTCAACAGTAAAAAAAATATGATTGAAATCATTTACAAGTTAAATCATTTTAATTATTTCATACAATTAATCATGAAAAGTTTTAAAAAGTAATGGTCAAATATCTGTATTCTTATCATATTTATATAGTCGGTCAACTTTTTGTATTTTCTCTTGGCATTGCACACAATCATATCTTTCTGTATCTTTTAGGATGCTGTGGTGCCAGACAGCATATATATTTTAATAAATCTTCAAAATTTGAATGATTAATTTGTTAAGTAAGATTAGCAATACAATTATAATTTAATATGTGCGTGCTTTTGTGACGATGCAAAAAAGCTTTTTTGGATGTCTCCTCAGTCTACATATTTACAATCTATAATTGCAAATAAAAGCAAAATATCAATCTTATTTGGGTATCACATTAACTTGTATTCTTGTTATCTTTACGCTGTTATGGAGTTTATCTATGCTAATTTTTGTTGTAGATCTTTTATGTTCTTCTTATGTATTCCACATATCGAGAGTAAAGGGGAAATATTGAGATAAAAACATTTTTCTATATATGAATAGTCTCAACGAAAAATAAAACTTGAAATGAAGAAATCGGAACCGTTTTCTTCGATGATTGATTAGTTTATTGATTTTAAACATTATTTTATTAAAATAAATTGAATTGGATTGGACAATATGCTAAGCCTATGAAAATCCTCTGCACACCTCAAGGGACATCGTATTACATTCAAACACGACATTCCTGACAAGGCATAATTATTCATTTCATAACTAACTGACGGATTGTTTGCTTTTATGTTTATGACATTTCTTTTGGCGTTTTTCCTTTTCCGCTTAAAAACGGTATCGTGTGGGATAGAACTCATTTGCACCAATGCTCCTTTTGTGCCAATATATTTTCTTAATTACGTGTATCAAATGCGACAAGAAAAAAGCATACAGCTGCGCCAATTAAAAAACTATATACACTGATCATGAGTACGCTGGGAAGAATAGTCATTTGACTAGGGGTTGGAATCTATAGCGTAGCGCAAACACAAACTGCTGCCAGTACGCCAGACATCGGTTGGTTATACATCTTCTTGAGAAAAATATTCTGTTTCTATCTCCGTTCGTGGGCAGACAGAGGGTGCATTAGTAATCTCCATGCAGTTAAAGATATGGCGTAGCCTGTATTCTCTCCAATGTACCCATAAAACAAACATAGACGGATGTGCATTAAAAAAAACAGTTGCAGTGAAGGTGAACTAACCGTGAAGATCTGGGTTTTGTCATATGTATTTTACATTTTTATTCATCTTATATACATCGTTTGCTGATGAGTGTGTATTTTAATGTGGGTTTATTGACTGAAGAGGACCTTTGAAACTTG